TGGCAATCTTTGAGTTTGTAGTGGAAAAGTCTGTGCCGAGCAGGGCGTACTGTAGTACTGCACAAACTTACTGCAAAGGGCTGGACTACGTCGCACTCACCTATCAGCTGTTGCACATGCAACCACACTTGCTTTTATTCGGCTTGACCCACCGTAGTATCTCTCGCCGATATAGCTAACGGCTGCTAACATCTACAGTTTTTTCACCGGAAGGTGTCGTGGGAAAACGTGGAAATCTACCGGATATTCAAGTTAGCTTCGACGGATACGCCGTGTATCCGTTTTGTGCCGAAATTCCCAGAGGGAAGGGTAACTTTTCACAATCCCTGTTCTGCACGTACACTGCGGTGATAGTGAAACATAAACACAGTGATCACATTTATAAACTTTTATTGATCAACCGTTATCATTTACTGAGAATTCTGTATAGCATCCAGGAACATAGCAATCAATAATCACACCAATGCTGAGTTGTCAACCGGGATTCATACCCGGCCCCTTTGCTTTCTAGGAAATTCAAAATCAATTTCAGTCCAGGTACGAATCCCGTCTGTGGCAAAATTTTTGCCCACAACTCATCAGTCTTGTGATAATTGGTGAAGCGCTCAACGACTGCCGTTGTATAGTTCGGATTCTTTGCGCAGGAAAGTTTGATACAGTCAAATTCACGATTCCCATAGGAAGATGCGTGCACGGCGTACACCTGAAATGGATTTTGAATTAGAATGGATTTTGTCCATCTTAATTGCTCATTTGTGAGGGCCTTTGGAACGATTTTTAAATTTCTTATCTGTTTTTTTACGAACAAGCTTTCAGCTCATGCATGCGAAAGCACTTATCGATCGCACGCGCGTAAAATCAATACACATCTGAAAATGTTACATCCATGAAAATTAAGCACCTTTTTCACAGTTTGAACTGCTTTTTGACAATCCATGAATTCACTCTTCGATGACTTCGCTATTTCTTCCCTTCTGTATTCGTCAGTTCTTCGCTTTTTCTTCGTTTCCTTTTCCATTGCACGGTTCGAGACTTCATTTTTCAGATGGTGGATGGCTGAATTGACGGGCTCGATCTCGTCGATCGGAGGTGGCGCGTCTGCCTTCCTCCCATATCAAACCACCAGTTTTAATATGCCAGTGCCATACTATAATCATATTAATAATAATAATAATAATAGCCCTCAACCATCACCGTCCTATACGCGACGACGAGAACAGCCGGTATGTCCGTCGTACTGTAATTTCTACTTTTTGATTTTCTATTTTTTTACATGAGGGTCTTATTTTCGACATTTTTATTGCTTTAATCTTATTCTTTCCTCATATACAGCTGAATAAAAAGACTAGTAGACCTTCCCGGAATTTTAATTTTCAAGGATAAATTCTCCAGACAACTCTCCCAAAGTGGAACATTTGACGATTAGTTTGCGGTCAGAGACGCAGAGCAACCTCGCCCATTGAACATTATGAACAGCACGACTGCCGTCATTTCCCGACACCGTACCGTAAGCGCACCAGCGCGATTTTTCGGCGTCCATGCGCTTTTTGGGATTACTAACCAATACTCGTGGTTTCCTCCTGACTGTTAGAGATACAGAATGATTGAGGTTAGAGACGCAGAGCAATTTTAGGTCAAGATTTTTCCTCTGAAAGAGCGAGTTTTCAGAGTCGTGCTCGTAGACAGCAAATCCCGCCCGAACGTGAGAGCCACGTGGCGTGTTGACGCGAGTACGTTGGCGCAAACTTGGTGCTCCATGAAATCACCCTTGTTTCAATCATAAATCACCTCACTATAAGAGCAGCTTGAATTCCAGAAAAAAAAACAGTGCTGTCACCACATTTCACTCGACACTTTATCGATTAGTTTGCCAACGTTATTGATTTTTTGAAGAGCCGTCAGTTTCGTGCTAATTGGCTCTGTAATGGCAGGAAACGTCAGTGTGAGTGATATGATTGAGTAAACGTGAGCAGTGTTGACCTGTCGGCTGACGTCGTCGTGGTTTTGCATGGTGTTGATGGATGGCACCGCTGGAACGCCCTGTGTGCACTTGGCGTGCTACGCCTCAGTTCCTCATCCCGCGGCTACAGTTCATTTAGCACATGTCACGTAACCCTCGAACACACCCTTGCACTCCTTCCCTCACGTGATTGTGAGGGAGACAACGACGTAAAACGTTGGGCCTATGAAAAATTACTAAAGGAACTCAATCTCGGGTTTTGAGGGATTTGCGCCTATTTTCTGGATATTTACGAAACACATGAAAAATATTACAAAAATGCTTTATTCAAAGGAGAATAACAAGGAATGAGAACTTAAAAATGACTTTGTCTGAGTATAGAAATGACCCTAAAAAATCCGCTTAGTGAAGCTAATGGACGACCGCCTGCGCAAGCGGTCTTGAATCAGCCCAGGAATCTGGCCCAGAGCTTTATTTTGCTTTACTATGATATATTTTTACTTCCATATAAAAAGGCTATATCGATTATCTCGATAGTGGGTTCAATAATCAGATCAGTTCCTCGTTCAGTTTTATCATCTGCCGTATCAAAGCTCGTCGACGGCAATGCCTCCTGAAGGTCTGCCGAATTGTCCCGGCTTGAATCGACCGGATCGAAAACGAAACGAAGTCACTTCGTAAGTGCTACCATCTTAATAACTATGCTTTTTATGTGAAATATGTCCCTGAAACGCACATGCGGCGATCACTTATGTTTGAGGGCTGCTTCTCATTAAACGGGGGGGGGGGAAGGCCGGATCGAAATGGTGGGTTATTGTGTTCGAAAACTAGACACTACTAAATTTTTCCCTTCTGAGGGCGGCCTGGTATGTAGAGACACACAGCGCTACGAGAAAAGGGAAAGCTCGAGAGAGCACGTCGTGTGCGAGAAGGCGCAGATGCCAAGTATGCTGCGTTTGATAAGAATGGCAGCGGTCGCAGCGGTCGTGCAAAAGCATTAGCT